CTCTGGGCCTGGGCCCTGTCCCTCAGCTCTTCAGCTCAAGGCTAGTGCTCTACCACTTGAGCCACAGTGCCACTTCCAGCTTTTTTCTGTTTGCTTATGTGGTGCTGAGGAATCGAACCCAGGGCCTCATGCATGCAAGACAAGCACTCTACCACTGAGCCACCTTCCCAGCCCTTCTTTACTCTTTTCTTCCTTGATGGCCTTATTCATCCTGTGACTTAAAGAGCCATCTGCAGACCAATAATTACCAGCTCATTTCTGGGGTTCTAAGCCAGCAACACAAATTGCTTTCTGCATATCAATACCAAAAAGCTCTCCAGTACAAAAAGCTCAAATCAAAATTAAACATATTTTGTTCCTTAAAACTTGTTTCTCACTGGGTGCCGGTGGCTCAAACCTATAATCCTCACTACTCAGGATGCTGAGATCTGAGAATCTCAGTTCAAAATCAGACTGGGCAGGAAAGTCCGTGAGATTCTTAGCTCCAATTAACCACCAGAAAATGAAGTAGTGCTGTGGCTCCAGTGGTAGAGCCTCAGCCTTGACTGAAGAGCTGAGAGACAGCACCCAGGCCCAGAGTTCAAGCCCCATGACCAACAAAAACAAAAAGCAAAAACAAAAACTTGTTTTCCCACGTGTGGCAAATAAGCTAATGGCACTATTCATGTTGTTGAAGACGGACACCTGCAATCCTATACTTTCTGCATTCAATTAATCATCATGTGTCATCTCTGTTTCATTTCTTCTACTTCGCCTTACCTAATCCTAAACTTCTTTTTTCTTCTATTCACTTGACACCCTCAATTGTATGTGATTATGATTTCATTTTCTTGTAGACAGAGTTCTTAGTGTGCCAAAACTTCTCTTTTTCGAAGGTATATTCCCACCCCTACACACTGCAGGACATGCAGCTGACGGTACACACGTACATTCTGAATGGCTAATTGTTTTTAGGTAGTATATTTATCCTGTTGATGTTTCAAGTTACTTCCTTCAAGAATCCAAGATTTATTTATCTACTTTGATTTTCAGCTTAGCCTGCTCTAGATAGGGTAGACACAAAATGTTCCTCGATATCTTTTAGCCCTAAGCACGGGGGGAAAAAAAAAAAAACAACCTGAATTTCTCCCAGGCCAAAACACAGTGTCTTCTCTTCCAAAGAAAAATAAATTTTCTAAGAAATGGAAACATAGTCTGCTTTGTTTCATTACATAAATATACTTTGAGCCCAGGTCTCTCCCCTCTCATCTGCAGACCTCTTCAGGTTCAGGCTTCCTACTACCTCTTTTCTTTACATAGTTTAAGAGCTCTTCCTGTCCCTCAGTCATTCAAATGTGTTCTATTGTGTTTGCTGATAAACATGCCATAGCAATGCAAACCATACTTGATCATGGAAGCACTAGTGCTGTTTTTTTCCTAATAGAAATACTATTGCTTTCCACTCTACAACATGATTCCAAACTATACATTTTAAAGCTCTGTAAGTATTAATCAGTTTTAAATCAACTATCTAATTCATTTAATTGCCTATGCATGTATCTGATCTTCTTTGTTTTATCTTTTGATTTTATTTATGATGATGATAATAATGATGATGATAATGATGATGATGAGGTGTGTGTGTGTGTGTGTATGCATGTACATGTCCTGGGGCTTGAACTTAGGGGCCAGGGCATTGTCCCTGATCTTTTTGTACTCTCCCACTTGAGCCAAAGCTCCACTTCCTGCTTTTTTGATGATGAACTGGAGGTAAAAGCTTCACAAACTTCCCTGCCCTTGTTGGCTTTGAACTGTAAACCTCAGATCTCAGCCTCCTGAGTAGCTATTGTTAGAAGCATGAGCCACCTGTCAAGTTAGATCTGGCAACAATGATTGATAAGAAATGTACTCATTACCTTGTTCATATAACTATAACCCCTCTGTACAGTATTTTCACAATAAAAAACTTATTTTAAAAAAAGAATCAATATTATCATTCTTCTTTGAAATGGTTGTAATATTGTTTTCATCATTACTTAAAATCTGAGTGCATATTTATTTATTTATTTATTTTTGGTCGGTCATGGGGCTTGAACTCTGGGCCTGGGCGCTGTCCCTCAGCTCTTCAGCTCAAGGCGAGCGCTCTACCACTTGAGCTACAGCGCCACTTCCAGTTTTCTGGTGGTTTATTGGAGATAGGAGTCTCACGGTCTCTCCTGCCGGGGCTGGCTTTGAACCGCGATCCTCAGATCTCAGCCTCCTGAGTAGCTAGGATTACAGGCGTGAGCCACCAGCGCCCGGCACATATTTATTTTATACTTACTTTCGCCATAATTTTTGCCTCTTCCAAAATCATACTTTTGACTGTTTCTGACAAGCAAAACATATATTAGTGTTCAAAATGTCTTGAATACAACTTCTCTGCATCAGTGGACTATACTGAAATAATCAGAGACCAATTAGGATAATTCCATCTTGGAGCCAAGACAAGATGAAAGAATTACAGAACATTCAGGTTGATAAGAGGACGTGACCTGGGCAAGAATATTCCAATGGACTGATAAGATTTACTCCAAGTCTCATAGGAAATACCAGTCGGAATGTATGGAGATTTGGAATTTAGGCCAAAGAAAGTAAGCAATCTTTCTAAGAAGACATCTGAGTCAATAGTTCAACACTTAATTTTGAAAGATATAGTAGGCTATAATGGTGCTTTATAATCTTGTACTAAATATTTTTGCTTGAACTAACAGATTCTATACATCATAGGTAGTGATAGATTCTTGAGTTAAATTTGTGGGAGACTGCCTTAACCCTGGCATAATACTCTTTGAGATTAGAGATTTCCTTGGATGGGAAGCTATTTCTAAATAAGCAGACAGATTTAATCCTTTTATACACAATTTCTTTGGAATGTTCCACCAGATTTAGTCCTGACAAACCTTATAAAGTTGAGGTTCACCATGTCCAGAACTTTCTTTACTAACGTCTAGACCCAAACTTGAGGCAAAGATAATTTGTGAGGCCTTCTAGATCTTTCCTTTCATTATTTTATTAACAGTATGTAGAAAAAGAACAGCATACTTGGAATAATAGGTCATTATCCCACAACATTTAATTCAAACTAGCAGTGGAGTTTAAATGGTTGTCCAATTATTTTCTGATAATGAAATGGTTTTTATTTCATTGTGATGATACTCCCAAACACATAATTTTGCCACATACCCTTCAAGACTAGGTTTCTCTCTCTCTCTCTCTCTCTCTCTCTCTCTCTCTCTCTCTCTCTCAGCTTCCAGGTTCTTTTCACTTTCCTTTGAAGCTCTATCAAGATTATATGTCTGTATCATTTCTTTAATGTCATCTCCATCTCTCCCACTGCATCACTCCATATAACTTAACCCCTTGAACCTAAAGATGACGTCCTTATTCTGGATCAAAAGCAAGCCAACTTTATCCTCTGGACTAAATCCATCCTTGTAGCTAATCTAGGAATGCGTGTTTGTGTTTTTCTTGTCCTTTTAAACTGTTGCAATTTTTACTTGTAAAAAATACACAAAGTCTAAAGATGACACAAAAATCTTAATATCAGTGTCCATAAAGCTTTATTAGCATGCAGTCATGCTCTGTCATTTACATTTCTCCCATGGCTGGATTCATGCTACCCTGCCAAGTTGCGTAATTATAACAGACTGTATAACTGTGGCATAAAAATATTTACTGTCTAGCTACTGATCACAATTTTCTGAGTCCTTGATATAAGATTTAGCTCTACCATGAGCACCTGAAACTTAAATAATTAAATATTAGTGATTATAGAGAGATGAGTATCTGTTGGAATACTGTTGAATGAATGGATATAAATGAACATGACTGGCCACCAGGAAAACCTAGATCAATATTTTCAATATTTGACTGGAAACCTAATAATTCACCTAATTTTTCTCTAAGACTAATAATCTGGCTAGTCCTCCTATTAAATTTCTATGATACCTTTTTAAGTGTATTTATAGCTTTTTATTCCATTGTTTTACAAATGAAACAAGGAAATGAAAGGCAAGTGAAAATTGAAATCATTACAATGTATTTTTCAGATTAGGTTCAGATGAATGAAGTCAGATTTATTTAAAAAATAATGATGCATTAACTAATCTCATAGCATTACTGAACGGAGAGTTTTGATAAGGAATGTAGTCCTTGTTATGTGGAAGGTATAGATAAAAGGATCTCAATCTAAGACTGGTCTGAGCAGAAAGCACAAGGCCCTATCTGAAAAATAATTAAGTAGAAGTGAGCAGGGTGTGTGACTCCAGCACAAGGCTCTAAGTTCCAACCCCAGAATGACCACCAAACACAAGTAAATAAAACATTTCAGAAAGGAGTAGTGCCTAATGTATATATCATCCTCTCGAATCATTTGATACTAGCTAGTGAGATACTTTAGATTCACTTACAAGGCCCTTATTAAATGGAAGTCATAAATTATCATCACAAGTCTACTTGATCTTTCTTTCAACTTATAGGATAGCAAAACCTGATCTGTTTGTTTCCCCTAGCATTTCTTCTGATGTGTACATTAGTAGTGATATAAAAATAAATAAATAAAAATATGATGGCCAGACATTGGTGGCCAGCTTCTCCGGAGGCTGAGATGGGAGGTTGGCCAGTCCAGGCAGGAAAAGTCTGTGAGACTTTTATCTCCGAATTAACCACTAAAAAGCCAGCAGTGAAGGTGCGATTCAAGTGGTAGGACACCAGGCTTGACCACAAAAGCTACTGGGACAGCTCCATCCACCACACCCAGAATTTCAGCTCCAGTACCAGCATCAAATATATATATATATATGATCAAAGTATATTATTTGCATGTGTGAAAATGTCCCAATGAAAACCATTCCTTCCTACATCTCAACAACTATGCCTGCTCATGGTAACTGCTGTCTTTCAGAACGCAAGAAGAAAACCGGCTGCAGAGCCTTTAGCCTTCGTCTTGAAGGCAGGGAGTATATGAAGACGGCTCAGCCATGTCAGAGACTTCCTCCCACGACTCCTTCTACGATTCCTTATCCGACGTGCAGGAGGAAAGCAAGAATGTGGACCACTTCCCAGGACTCTCTGCTTTTCTCAGTCAGGAAGAGATAAACAAGAGTCTCGACCTGGCCCGCCGAGCTATAGCCAGCTCTGAAACCGAGGATTTCGACTCGGAAAAGGAGATCTCACAGATTCTCAACAGCTCTCCGGGCAGCCTGTGCGCAAAGGAGGAGAAGAAGGAGGAGGAGGAGGAGATCAAATTGGCCGAGCCGACCTCTTCTGCAAGGCCTCCAGATCGCAGGCCAACCCCCGCTCAGCCTCTGGCAGTGGAGCAAGCTGAAAGCATCAGTTCACCTGCTTCTAGAAGAAAACCTGCCCTCTCACCCCTGCTTGCCAGCCCCAGCTATATCCGGAGCCTGCGCAGATCTGAGAAACGTGGGGCAAAATTTCCCAGCCCCAGTGCAAAGCCGAAGCCTGCGCCTCCAAGCCAGGCCGGGCCCCAGAGCCAGCTGTGCGACAAGGCCGCTAACTTCATCGAGGAGCTGACATCCATCTTCAGGGAAGCAGCCAAGCCGAGAAACCGGAGCCCCAACGGGGAGTCCTCATCCCCAGACAGTGGGTACCTGTCTCCTAAAACTCAGCCCTCGGCCCTGATGAGTGCCACAGCCAGCCAGAGCCCCACCGAAGAGCAGCAGGAGATGGAGGCCAGACCCTGTTACCCGGGCAGGCAGCCGCCCCACCGCCTCACGCACCTGCAGCCACAAAACGGGCTCCACGTGCGCTCGGCGCCCAGGTTCATCCAGAAGCTCAAGAGTCAAGAAGTGGCCGAAGGAAGCCGAGTCTACCTGGAGTGTAGGGTCACGGGGAATCCCACTCCAAGAGTCAGGTAAGACGGTTTTATGGTAAACGTCAAGGATGGTGTTCACTCTGCAAGTCACTTCAATGCGGAAAAGGGGAAAGGGGGTGCGGGGTGCGGTCTGCGGGGTGTTCTGGACACTGAGGTAGGGTTTTGTCGAGGGCTTATAAGCAAGAGCGTGGCCTAGGGAAGTTCTTCATGGTTCCAGGCATTTCTGGCACGATGATTTTTGGGGTGCTGAACCATTTGTGCTATTGACTCTGAGAAAAGGGCCAAAAACTTAAGAAGGAAATGAGAAATGCAAGGAGGTTGTGATATACGACTCTAGAGTTACCAACAGCCAGATACTTCAAATGTGAAATTGAGTTAGCCAGAGAAAAGTGGTGTGTGTGTGTGTGTGTGTGTGTGTGTGTGTGTGTGTGTGCGTGTGCGTGTGTGTGCGCGCGCGCATGCGCGTTGATGAAGATGATGAAAATCTGGCCAGAACTCAAAAGTTTTCTAGAGCAGCGCTGAAATAATGCAGTTGAACGCATGGAGACAATCAGAACACACTCAGTAAAGATAAGCCTAAGTACACACCTCCCAGAGGACACCACCAGAGGAAACAGAACTCCATTGCTGAACAGAGACAGATGAGCGCCAGTGATACATGCCTGTAATCCTAGCTAGTCTGGAGGCTGAGATCTGAAGATGGAGGTTTGAAGCCAGCCCAGGCAGGAAAATCCCTGAGACTTTTATCTCCAATTTGGCCAACTGGCCAAAAGCCACAAGTGGAGCTGTGGCTCAAGTGGTAGAGCACTAATGATAAATAGAGTAGAGAGCATTGCAGGTTGGTTATGGGTGTGTGCAGATTCAGCCTTCCAGAGTCTAGGTGCAGGTAAAAATAGGAATGAAATGAATGTGCGCACACAGTCAGTAAAATCCTCACTATCATGTGCATTCGAATTTCATAAGATCCTCCTTCTTTTTTTGTGTTCTCCTGTACCCAAGAATCACATGACACGGCTCCTGTCATGTAATTAGTAGTGTCACCTTTGTCAAGTTACCTGGCACCTCTTTGGCTCGGCTTTGTTATCTATGAAGTGGGCATTATAGCAATGCCATCCTGCTGCTGTTTCGTGGTAATTGAAATAACTAAATGGGAAATAATGAAACAGGTCCAGGGCCCCAGTTGCAAGGAATGGTGTTGATGTCCTGCTTTCGTTTCACATGGCAGAATGCAAAGAGCATTTCAACTTGGAGTTGTGCTGCAATAAGCATGCATCCATGTGTTCTGAAAGTTTTGCTTATATTAACTATGAATGTTTCACCTAATTTACACGTTACTAAAGAGTAACTGTGAAAAAACATTTAGAAAAATGGTAAACTAGACAGCAGTGGCTAAAACTGAAGCACTGATGCCTCCTCATTCAGTAGTTCTGGAATCACAAGATTGACACCTTCCATACTTCACTAGTGTTGGTTGCTTCGTTTTGCCAAGCATCATTGAAGAACATGACGTAAGCACTCGTGTTCGTGCTGCCACGTGGCAAAATTAGATTCGGACAATTATATTCCCCACCAATCAACCAATTTATCCAACCAATTGACCTTGTCGAATTTTACTTAGTTTCTTTTAGAAACTGACAGCAGAGGGCAGCAAAAACCTTTTTCATATGTTTATTTGATTAGGTCCCTAAATTTTGCAGTCCACAAGAATTTATTTTCCCCCTGCTAAAAATAAATTGAGTACTTTTTTTCAGACTCTACTTGGATCTTTTAGAAGCCCCCCCCCCAATCTTGAGAACAAATCACTCATCAATAGAATTATACTCACATCACAGGTCTGCAGATTTTCCAACTATGTGCTATTCCATCCCAATTAGTACGTTTCCAAATGGAGTAAGATAGCAAGGAAGCCATTACCTTTCAAGAATTGCCAAAAGCACCCATTTACCATCAAAGTATTCATTCAAGTAAGTAGACTGCAATCTCTGTGTTGATGTTCATTTCACCATCTGGTATTTCTAGAGACCAACAAAAGCATGCTTTGGCCTGTTTGGAGAGAAGGGACAACAGTTGTTATTAATTATGATTAAACTAGTTAATAAAGTATATTTAACTAGCTTTCTCATGTTCTTTTCCAATGTCCCCGTGTCAATGACCAATATTCCTTGGACCTTGCAAATTGTGTCCCTTCTCATGAAGACTTTGATACAAATGCTTCATTGTTTAGGCAGCTGGTCTTTTCCCAGTTGTTTTTGTTTCATTTGTTTTGTTTTGAGAGATAGTGTATATCTGCTCGCTGAGTTTTTTTAACATTCTGTTCTGGATCTGGGGATCTTGATCATCTTGGTTGTGCATTTGTGAATTCCTAAGAATACTAAACTCTTTTGAGCTCATAAGGCATTGTGAGGGAAATTTTGCATCAGAAAGAAACTCATCAACAAAGAGAGCATGAAAAGCTGGCCCAGACTGCATCAGTCCAGGGGACCCAGAAACCAGACATTCGAGAAACCTGTTGGCTTCACAGGTCATCTCCTAAGGCCCCAGGAGTAGTTGTCAGTAATATCTGAAGCAAGCAATGAGAGAGACTGGCTGAGAAGGGTGGACACAGACCTGGGATACTTCCTGAGAAGTGAGGCAGTGTGGTGCAAAGGGACTGGGTGTCTGGCCAGCAGAAAGGCAAGGAGAGAAACTCAACCCGCCATGACTTTAGACAAGTGTCAAAGCAGAACACAAGAACAGAGCAAGAGATCTGGATTGGTCCTGATGAAATGAGAACTGAATGTGTGCTGGGTCCAGAACAGAAGAAAACAAATTGCTTTAGACACGGCTGGCCTACAGTGCATCCAGCTGGAGACTCTTAAATATGATCCGGGGAGTGTTTGGTCCAGAACCCTGGGCCTAGGCAAACGAATAAAGGTAAATAGAATAGCTCCAGCTAAAAGGAAGAGGAAGAGAAACAAAAGGAGAAGCCAGGGCAGTCATTTCAAGGTATTTCTGCTTTGCATGCAATCATTTCAACCTCTCACATGGTACATATTAGTAATAAACACAAAGAGGAGAGAACATTTTCTCATGTCCAACAAAGTCTCAAAGATGGGGGCAGGGTCCTGCTGAAAAGTGCGTGTATATATTTGGAGCCTTACACTTTTAGGTTGTAGTCAAGGAGCATAATTATTTTGTAGTAATTTGAATTACTACATCATACAAAGCCAGGTCAGAGTTCACCTGTTTTCTGTGATGATATCCTAAGGTCCACATGTCCCATGCATTATTTCAGAACCATATAAAGACACATTCCCTGCTGTCACTCATCTTCCCTCTTAATCCTTTTAGATTCATTAATGAGTCATAATTATTTTTAATTGACTTCTAAGCCAGGTGTGGTTGGGCATAACTGTAATTTCAGCCCTCAGGAGGCAGAAGCAGGAGGGTTATGAGTTGGAGGACAGCCCGGGCTACATAGTAAAACCATCTTAAGTACAACAAGAATGACATTTAGTATTCTAAATGTTGACCTGATATTTTCACCTCATGCTTTGAAAAATACCCTTTTATGATAACCATATATCTTAAGCCAGTGAAATGTAAGATGGTTGGCATAGGAAACGGTAGTGATGTGCTAAGTAGCACAGGAATAGTGAATTCATCCGAAAGGCTGAAGCAGAAAGCAGGTATTGTGCTTCCTGACCCTGAACTGGGTGAGAGGACACTGCCCCCCCCCCGCCCTCCCCCTCACCTTCGCTGCAGTTGAGTGTTTATGTAGGCCTCACAAACAAGCTCCATGAGAAGAGACTGGTGAAATGGCCAGGCCTGAACATTTTATAGGCATCGAATCCATATTCAAAAGAACAGGGCAGTGTGATGATTTCTGAAATGCTTTTCTCTATGAAAAAGAACCACAGGCCTTCGTGGTTATTGCTCCTTTGTTTTTTCTTTTGCTTCCAGTAAATTCATAATAGTGGATCAAAATAAACCCGGAACATTTTTAATATAAAAGAGTGCATGGGTTGGGAAGGTGGCTCGGTGGTAGAGCGCTTCCCTTGCATGCATGAGGCCCTACGTTCGATTCCTCAGCACCACATAAACAGAAAAAGCCAGAAGTGGTGCTGTGGCTCAAGTAGTAAAGCACTAGCCTTGAGCTGAAGAGCTGAGGGACAGCGCCCTGGCCCAGAGTTCAGGCCTCATGACTGACACACAAAAAAGTGCATATATGTCACAAAAAAAACTATACGCAAAGCCTATAAATAAAGTTATGAATAGTGGTCCGAACACATCCTTAGCTTAATATCATATTGTGCAGTCAACGTGTTTATGTTCAAAAGAAATGAAACACTTGCAGACTCCCACCTACTACTGTAAAAGTGAAATCCAACAATAGTCAAAGCATCTGCTTTAATATTCTCAATACAGCTACTCATAATTAATCATAAGATGCCTATTAGGTCATCACTGTTGGCCTTGTAAAGTTTTATTTAATATGTCGTTAAAATTAATTAAATTCTCTCTTTTTATAATAAAAACACAGCACCTCTAATGAAGCCAATTAGTTTACATTACCAAAACTTTGATCACCTGCAAAAGCCAAAATAGAATTATCCATCTCAAATCTGTCAACACAGCCGGTAGAACTTTTCACTTCCTCAAAGACAAAAACTGAAAACAAGCCTTCGATTCTCTGTTCTGAATTCGGGGAACTGCTGTGCACGATATCCTATTTGCTGACTGTTTGATTTGTGAAAATATGGCCACAGCACCATTAGCCAGTGGGTTATGAACATTCAGTGCTTCTAGAGTGAAGATTCAGATGGCTTAAGCCAGGACTATTGTTGTTAACATATATAGTGAACAATAAGGTAGCAGATGGTACCATCGGATTATTAATATGAAACATTCCAGCAATATATGGGTTGTTACTTCAATATAAAACATAAATACATATAAAATACTCAAGAAAACAATGTTGTACACGTATGTAAGTTTAAGACATTCTTACACAAAACCTTTCTATCCAGCAAAATTGACTACTTGATATCTTTACTTGA